AGCATATTTGTGACAAGGAGACAAAGGTAAATTTAATGCTTCAGGGTCAGAGGAAGAATCTCACAGTCAGAATCCTTCCATGAAGCTTTAGAGGACAATGAGAGTTTACTTTAGGAGAGGGGCAAGTGTTAGGAAGATACACTATATTATGACAAGGACATGTGATGTTTAGCAAACTGTGGATAATCTGGGGTGCTGGCCCAGCACCACGTGGGAGGGGCCTTTGGTGCTGTTGTTAGAAGTTATATATTGTTTTCCAGTTGTGATTCTCAGCTTGCAGCCTGCAGATTCCTAGGGATCTATGGATCAGTGCTTAGAATATGTAAGAGTTTGCTATGGAACGTCTTAACTTTGTGAATATATATATACATATATATATATATATATATGTATATATACACACACACACATACATATATACATATATGTGTAGGCATATTCTATATCATTCAAATTGGTGCACCTCAAAGTGTGGTGCTCAGAATGGTGCTCATCCACAAACTCTCAGTTTCCAGTTCACAAGGAGATAACCATAGACGCTGAGAGTAAGCAATTAGAAACTTACAGCAATTTGACTTGGTACTGCCGTGTCATTCAAATGTAGGATGTTTTAAATGCCAGTTTGTTGAGGTAGTATTATACAGAACAGAATTAATGCTTTTAAAACATAGCTAGATGAGTTTGGAAGGATATATACAGTCATGTAAACACCCCACAATCAAGATAGAGAAAATTTCCATCTCCCGAAAAAGTTCTCTCATGTCCTACCCATCTATTATCCGTCTCTACAGTTTCACCTTTTCTAGAATGTCATATGGATTAAGTTCACATTGTAGATAGTCTTTAGTGAATAACTCCTTTTGTTAAACATAATTCTTTTGAGATTCTTTTATTTTGTTCTGTATAATTTATTTTTGTTACTATGTAATATTCTGCTACCAGAAAGGGGTCCTGATCCAGACCCCAAGAGAGTATTTTTGAATCTCATGTAAAAAAGAATTTGGGGCAAGTCCACAGTGTAAAGCAAAAGCAAGTTTATTAAGAAAGTAAAGAAACAAAAGAATGGCTACTCCATAGACAGAACAGTGGCATGGGCTGCTCCACTGAGTATACTTATGATTATTTCTTGATTATATGCTAAACAAGGGGTGGATTATTCATGAGTTTTCCAGGAGAGGAGCAGGCAATTCCCAGAAATGAGGGTTCCTCTCCCTTTTAGAGTATATAAGGTAATTTCCAGACATTGCCAAGGCATTTGTAAACTGTCATTGTGCTGGTAGGAATGTCTTTTAACATGCTAATGCATTAAAATTAACATATAAGGAGCAATGAAGAGGACCAGAGGCCACTTTTGTCACCATCCTGGATTTGGTGGGTTTTGGCCTGGTGCTTTCCTGTTTCCTCAGCAGGGTTTTTATGACCTATATCTTGTGATACCACCACTGCTGGCCTCCTATCTCATTCTGTGACTCAGAATGCCTGACTTCCTAGGAATACAGCCCAGCAGGTATCACTCTCATTTTACCCAGCCCCTACTCAAGATGGAGTCAGTCTGGTTCAGATGCCTCTGACAGTTCTACTATATGAATATACCACAGTTTCTCCATTCACTCGTTGATGTATATTTTGGTTGTTTTGGGGTTGGGCCATTCTAAAGGAAGCTGTTATAAGCATTGATTCATTGGACTTCAAGTGCACATATGTTTCCGTATTTTAGGTAAATACTTAGTGTCAGGTCTCCATATACAAGCTTGGAACCTGAAAGTCTGAAGTCCTGCCTGCCTCAGCTGAAGTCTCCCAACCACTGCCTGTGTTGGCAATTATCCTTGATCGCCCAGGGGAGCTTCCCCAGACAAGCCCCTCACCCAACCCTGCCATCTTAACTGTTCTTATGATAATGTAAATACCTCTCACCCAACCCCACCACTGTAACTGAACTTACTCTGCAACACCCCCACCCCCCAAAACACTACCCAAACCTATAAAACCAACTCCTATCCCACTGCCCTTTGCTAATGCCCTTTTTGGCCTTAGCCCACCTGCACCCAGGTGAATAAACAGCCATGTTGCTCACACAAAGCCTGTTTGGAAGGTCTCTTCATTAAAAGCTCATGTTTTTTAAACATTTGGAAACTAAATTGCTGTATCATATGCTAAGTATCTGTTTAATTCAGGGTTTCTCCATTCATATTTTGGTAAATACTTAGAAATTTAGGTGAATACTTAGAAATGGAATTGCTGTGTCTTATGTTAAGTATCTGTTTAATTCAGGGTTTTGTCATTCATATTTTGGGTTGGATAATTCTTTGTTGTGAGAAACCATTCTGTACATCATGGGATCTTTAGTAAACAACTTTGGCCTCCGCCCACTAGATGTCAGGATGCTCCCCACTCTCAGTTTTAACCACCAAAAATGTCTTCGGACCTTGCTAAATGTCCCCCGTAGCTAAAATTGCCCCCAGTTGAGAAATATTGGTTTATTATAAAAAACTACCAAACTGTTTTTCAAACTACCAAAATGGCTTTGTCATTCTCACCCAATAGTTTATGAGTTCCAGTTTTAATGTGTCATATCTTAATTTTTATTCATTTAAATATATTTTCTAATTTTCCTGTGATGACTTCTTTGGCTCATGTGTTACTTATAAGTATGTTGTTTAATTTCCCAGTGTTTGGGAGATTTTTCAGATATTTTTCTACTGTTGATTTCTGATTTATTTGCATTTTGGACATAGAACATTTTTTGTACAATTTCAATCCTTTTAAAAATTTGGAATTTATTTTGTGTTCCAGAATATGTTCTGTGGTGAAATATTGATGTGCACTTGAAAAGAATGTCAATTATGTTATTGTTGAGTATAATTTTATATGTGACAAAATTATCAGCCTGTGATATGTTGGGAATTTTTACAAAGTTCTTTGCTAATGACCGGTGCCTCTCAATCTATCTGTAGCTTATAGCCTGTGTTCCCATTTGTCTTGATGATTGCCTTGATGCCAAGTGATAACCACAGGTGCTGGTGTTTCACTTACAATGAAGCCTTTTCCCTCCTGGACTTTGCACATCTAATCGTGAGGCTCCATGAATGTTCAGGTACAACTAGAGCAAATGAGGATTTGTGAAACAATTGTAAGGTTTTTTTCTTTTCTTTTTTTTGAGACGGAGTCTTGCTCTGTGGCCCAGGCTGGAGTGCAGTGGCTCAGTTTCAGCTCACTGCAACCTCTGCCTCCCAGGTTCAATCAATTCTCTTGCCTCCTGAGTAGCTAGGATTACTGGCATGCACCACCATGCTCAGCTAATTTTTATATTTTTGGTAAAGACAGGGTTTCACTGTTGGTCAGGCTGGTCTCAAACTCCTGACCTCCCAAAGTGCTGGGTGGGATTACAGGCGTGAGACACCATGCCACGCCAACTTTTTTATGTTTTAGGAAAACATTAAATGCAAAGTAGAAACGACAACAAAATGTTTCTTGTGGCTCGTTGAGGTGAGTCCTGCCTGTATCTCTGGAATCCACTCCTTAGCCTTCCTGTGCTGTGTCCTTTCCCTTTGCTATTAAAGAAACTCCTTCAGTCTGGAATTTCCTATCACCTTTCCTTACATTTTGAATCTGGATTAGTTATTTTTGTTTGCTTGCTTTATTTATTTATTTGGTAACAAGTTACTTTAAACTTAGTGGCCTAAAATAGCACAAATATATTGTATCATAATATCCCTGCATGAGGAGTCTGGCTATGGATTGGTAGGGTTCACTGCTTAGTGTCTTACCAGGTTGAAATCAAGGCAGAGGTAGCGCTGTGTTCTCCTCTGAAGCTGCAGTCCTCTCATTGGCTCACTCCGGCTGTTGGGAGAATTTGTTCCATCTAACTGTAGAAGTGAAATTCCAATTTTCTCCCTGGCTACTGGTACCTCTCTGAGCTCCTTTAGGATTTCTCAAGGGCTGAGCCACATAGCCTCTTCACAGCCAGGAGTGAGGGATCTCTCTCCAGTCCGCCAGGATGGAATGTTGTTAGATAAAGTAAACCAGTCACAGTCTTAAATTCCCATCATGTTCCTAGATCCCACCCACACTCAACTCAATGGGAGGAGTTTACATAAGGCATGTGCATGAGGAATGGGAGTCTCAGAGGCCTTCCCAGGCTACCCCCGGATCCTACTCATCTGTTAGTGTCCAGGTGGAATTATGTTGCTTTCATGAGCTCGTTTCATAAGCTTTCCAGCAGTGTGAATTGCTCCCTTGCCTGCCTTCATTCTGCAGTTTCTATCTTCTCTTTTACACTGCCTCAGTTTGCCAGGTAAACCCTTATAATTCATGGCATTGACACAGTCTGAGCAGGACATTATACCTTTGGAGTTGGTGATGCTAGATATGCCCTTCGTCTGGCTTCCCTGTATTCTCTGCAATGCTGAAGTAGCTCTTGCTAAGAGTAAGCATTATGGTGTTTTAATAAAGCTGAGGTTCCTAAAGGCCTGACATACATGCTTTCTGAATGTAAGTTCATTCTGAGCATGCTACAGCCAGTATGGCATGTTTTGAATGTACCTCATTATCTACATGTATCATTGTCCATGTGTTCTCATTGTTCAGCTCCCACTTATAAGTGAGAACATGCGGTGTTTATCTACTACACTTAGGGTCAGAGACTGTCTTTTCTTTCCCCTCTGTAACCTGTATACAGTGGGCTAAATGTTTGAATCAGGGCAAACAAAGATTACAGAAGAATCATAACTCAGTTCAGGAATCACTGCTTAAGAAAGCCTAGAATTTAATCAGAAATGAAAGAGAGTGTGACTTCAGATGGCAGAAATATGGAGAGGGAAAAACATGGAAGATTGGGCACCCTCTCGGATGTCTTTGTAGCGGCCGCCCAGTACCTGGCCCACTGTAATGATCAGTTATCAGTTATCAGTGTTACTGATGACTGTCAGAGAGTGGTGTGTACCTATCTAGTCTCAACCCTTTTTAAAAACAACTGCTTTTTTTTTTTTTTTTCCTAATAGCTGGTGCTCAAGACAGAATTGGCTGGGCTTTTGGCCTAGGATTAGAAAGGCTAGCCATGATTCTCTACGACATCCATGATATCCGTCTCTTCTGGAGTGAGGACGAGCGTTTCCTGAAGCAGTTCCGTGTAGCTAACATTAATCAGAAGGTGAAGTTTCAGGTAAGATGGCTTGCAAGAACTGAAAAAATAAGAATAATAATGGTTGTCAGGATTGACAGGATCCTGTACTTGAAAGCCATTGAATTTTATTGTATTTGTTTTTTATTTTGCTTTAAGTTCTGGGATACACGTGCAGAATGTGCAGGTTTGTTACATAAGTACGCATGCGCCATGGTGGTTTGCTCCACCTATCAACCCGTCACGTAGGTTTTAAGCCCCACATGCATTAGGTATTGTTCAAATGCTCTCCCTCCCCTTGTCCCCCACCCTCCGATAGGCTCCGGTATGTGATGTTCCCCTCCCTGTGTCCATGTGTTCTCATTGTTCAGCTCCCATTTATAAGTGAGAACATGTGGTGTTTGGTTTTCTATTTCTGTGTTAGTTTGGGTGTTTGGTTTTCTGTTTCTGTGTTAGTTTGCTGAGAATGATGGTTTCCTGCTTGATCTATGTCCCTGCAAAGGACATGAACTCATTCTTTTTTATGGCTGCATGAATTTTAAGCAATGTGAATTTGTAAAGAAATTCCTGGCCAGGCACGGTGGCTCACATCTGTAATCCCAGCACTTTGGGAGGCTGAGGCAAGTGGATCACCTGAGGTCAAGAATTTGAGACCAGCCTGGCCAACATAGTGAAACCCTGTCTTTACTAAAAATAGAAAAATTAGCTGGGTGTGGTGGTGTGTGCCTGTAGTCCCAGCTGCTTAGGAGGCTGAGGTAGGAGAATTACTTGAACCCAGGACGTGGAGGTTGCAGTGAGCCAAGATTGTATGCCATTAGACTCCAGCCTGGGCAAAAAGAGAGAAACTCTGTCTCAAAAAAAAAAAAAAAGAAGTTCCTAAAAAGAGGTCCATAAAAACACACAAGGGGCTCATAAACTTTTAGAAATTTTATGCAAGAGAAAAGATGTTTGTCAATCTTATTAGTCTAGGCAGAGAACCAATTTTGTACTTTTTTAATGAACATTTTATCATTATGAAATATCCAACTTTATCACTGATATTTGTCTCTTAAAGTTTACTTTTTATAATATTAATATAGACACTGGGTTTCTTATGATTGATATTTGCGATGCCGATCATTTTATTTTCATTCTGTATCTTCATCTTCATTGTACATCTCTTATAAACAGCATAAAGTTGGGTCTGTTTTTTAAGACCCAGGTCTAGTCTTCGTCTTCTCAATTGGAGTGTTGAATACACTTACATTTAATATATTAAATAATAACTTATATTCCTGGGCCTAATTCTGTCGTTTTTAAACTTCTTTCCCATTTTCCTCATCAGTTTTTTATTTATTTTGCTTGAAAATTGAAGTTTGTTTTCATTTTGTGTACATGTTACATTTTATTTCTTCCATTTGTACTTAGTTTTCATAGTTGTATGTGATTTTAAATGGTTACATTGTAATATGCATAATTCATTCTTCATGTTTTATCATGAAGAAATATTATACAACTTTGTGAAACATTTTGCCACTTTATAATAGTGCAATTTTATTATCCCTCCTGTCTAGGTTGTCAAGTTGTTTTTTTTTTCCTTTTTTGTCCTTGAACTTTAAAGAGGTCACGTTATTGCCTTTATCTCTGGTTTTCAGCAATTTGACCTATGTGTGATTTTCTGTCTGTTTTTCTGCTTCAGGATTTACTGTGTTAGGTTAATATCTTTCAAGCATTTTGGAATATTCTCATCTAGCATCTTTTCCAGCAATTCTATTCTGTTCATTTTTCAGAATATAGCTGCATATATGTTAGACCATTTGATCCTGTGCCATAGAACTCTGATGAAAGGTGTTTTATTAATGATTTTTTTTCCTGTGTGCTTTATTTTTGATATTTTTTATTGTCTTCTCTTTGGGTTGCTAATATTTTCTTTCTTTCTTTTTTTTCTGTTTTGTCCAACTAAACATTAAGCCCATCCAGTGGATTAACCATTCCCCAGATATTGTATTTATCAATTCTAGAATTTGCATTTGCTTCCTTTTTAGAGTTTTCATTTATCTACTGAAATTTTTGATCTTTTTATCCATTTCATCTATTCTTCCTTAAATTCTTTCACATATTCGTAATAGTTACTTTATTTTATTTATTTATTTTTTGAAATAGAGTCTTGCTGTATTGCCCAGGCTGGAGTAGAATGCAATGGCTCGATCTCAGCTCACTGCAACCTCCACCTCCTGGGTTCAGCTGAATCTCCCGCCTCAGACTCCTGAGTAGCTGTGATTACAGGCATGTGCCACCATGCCTGGCTAATTTTTGTATTTTTAGTAGAGACGGGGTTTCGCCATGTTAGCCAGTCTGGTCTTGAACTCCTAACCTCAGGTGATCCTCCTGTCTCAGCCTCCCAAAGTTCTGCGATTGCAGACATGAGCCACCACGCTCGGCCTTGTAATGGTTATATTTAAGTATTGTCTGTTAATTCCAACCATTTAGTTATCTAGTGTTCTTTTGTTGTTTTTTCTTCCTAATCATGGCTTACATTTTTCCTGCTTCTTCACTTGTCTTTTTTTTATTGTGTTTGAATGGACACCAAGACTGTGGTAGATAAAATTTATCCCTAGAAAGCCTTATGCTTTCTGCTATCTGGCTGCTAAGGTGACTAGGCAAGATCTTTTTGTTCTATCAGGAGTTGAGTTGGATTTCACATCTGATTTCCTCTTCATGGTGAGATCTAGCCCTGCAGCAGAGTTTGGTATCTAACCATGTGAGATCACAGGTTCTTTCTGCTTTCCATCCACTTACCAGCTTCTTCTACCACCAGCCTTTGTAAGCAGAAATATTATGAAGGAGAATTGGCTGGCAGTGAGGGTTAGCTCTGTTTCTCCATTTTCCAATCTGCCATACCAGCCCATGCTTGGCTGATAAAAGTTGGCTCGTTTCTTCTTATTCCAAAAAAATGTCTTTGCTAGTAGCAGGCTAGCTCTTCTGCTTACTCATGCCTGAGTGGTAAAAGCTGCCATCAATGTCTGTCTACCCTAGAAGGGCTCATCTCTTTCTGGGGTTACATTTATTTATATTCGTGTCCAGACCTCTTCAACTGTATTAGTCTGGTTTCATGCTGCTGATAAAGACATACTTGAAACTGGGAAGAAAAAGAGGTTTAATTGTACTTACATTTCCACATGTAAGTGTGGACGGGGAGGCCTCAGAATCATGTCAGGGTATGAAAGGCACTTCTTAAATGGTGGTGACAAGAGAAAATGAGGAAGAAACAAAAGCAGAAACCCCTGATAAACTCATCAGATCTTGTGAGACTTATTCACTATCACAAGAAAGCATGGCAAAGATTGGCCCCCATGATTCAATTTCCTCCCCCTGGGTTGCTCCCACAACATGTGGGAATTCTGAGAGATACAGTTGAAGTCGAGATTTGTATATCATCAACTTTAAGGACAGGTATGGTGTTTTAAAATGTATTTTTTTTATTGATACAGTGAAACACACGGATTTTGTGTGTGTGCCCATCTGCATCTGAAACCTTCCCATGTATATATGTATGTATGTATGTATGTATGTATATATGTATATGTGTGTATATTTTTGATTTTTACCTTAGGACTTTTAAAAACTTCTACTTAAATAATTATCTGTTTTATTTTAGCATTGATTCCTTCTACACTAATTTGAAATAAAAGTGTCTCTATATCAAAATAAAATCTGGCTAAGGCTGTACTTTTTTCTCATTCGCTTTTTAAATATATTGTCATTTATTTAATCAGCAAACATTTATAAAACACCAACATTGTTCAGAATGGTATGCTCAACACTGTGATATAGCAAATAAAAATGAAAAACACTGTTGCCACCATAATTAAGTAGCTTAAATTCAATTTTAAGTGTACCTACAGCAGTCTTTTTTTATGAGACACAGATGTAGTCAGAATAGACTCGATCTCTTGTACTGAATGTCATTTTTTTCTCTTTTCTCCCTCCAGATTTGAAAGCCAATCTATGATACCTGCACTAATATCTAATTTGTATAGTTGCCTTTGTGTAACAAACTTAGGAACTTCTAATGGGGAAGTTAGGTTATGTATATTCATATTTAGTATGTAAAATACATTGTGAATTATAGATTACAGATTGTACTATTGCCTAAGTATTCACTAATAATAAGTGTCTATTCTTGTTAGTTTCCTGTTGCTTAGATAACCAGTTACCACAAATCTAGTAGCTCGAAAAAATGTATTTATGATTTTTACAGTTCTAGAGGTGAGAAAACCAAAATCCACCTGACTGGGCTAAAGTTAAGGTGTCAGTAGGACTGGCTCCTTCTGCAGGCTCTGAGGAGAATCCATTTTCTTGCCTTTTCTGGCTTCTAAAGGCCATCCTCAGTCTTTGGATCATAGCCCTGCATCATGTTGCCATTCTCTCTCCTTCCATCTTTTGTCACGTTGCCTTCTTTTTGAACTTTGCTTTCTAATAAGGACCCTTATGATTATATCAAGCCTTGCTGGGTAATTCCGGATAATCTTTCCATCTCAAAATACTTCTTTTAAAGTAATCCTTTAATCCTTTAATATGAATTAATTCTCTAATACAAAAGGAAAAGTACACTCCCTTTTGAATATAAGGTAATATATTTATAGATTATAGGGATTAGGACATGGATATCTTTGGGTGGAGTTGGGGGTATTTTTAAGTCTACCGCAGTCTTCCCTTTGATCCCCAAAGATTCACATCTGTCTTGTGTAAATGCATTCAGCCTATCCCAAGGTCCTGCAAAGTCTGAACCCATTGCAAGATAAACTCAAAATCGAAAATGTCATCTAAATATCTTCAGTCCCTAAGTTCCATTTCATCATTTAATTTTCTAAAGCTGGTTTATGTGACACTCTGGGTATGATTCATCCTGGGGCAAGATTCCTCTCCACCTTTGCAACTGAAACAAGGTACCTACTCCCAAAATACAATAAGTAGGATAGACATTGGAGAATAGTCGTAGACATTTCCATTCAAAAAGGGAGAAAATGAAAGAAAAAGAAATCAATGGTTCCAAGCAATTT